CATGCGACATAGATTCATTAAACTTTTGGTCCGATACCCTTTTGAAATACAAAGCATTGACGGACCATTGTTGAATCTTGAAAGAGGAGGGAGGGGGGGGGGTGAGGGGTTGGGGGATGATCAAGAGCATTTGCTACAACCAACCTGTTGTTTAACTAGATCTAGATCTCTAATCATCTAATTTCATTCCTTCCCTTCCTCCTAAAAGCTAAACATCTAATTAGTCTGATTCGCATCATTGCTCAACAAATATCTTTTAAAAATCCCTCGATAGCTCTTAAGAACAACTAAGCTAAGAACTACGGTAAAAAGATTTCTCAGAATTCCTAACAGTTTAAAAAAAAAAAAGTAAAAGTATGATTTCCTATCTATTACAATGAAAACCTTTATTTTATCTAATTCCTATCGAATCCTTAAATATAGGAATGAGGATTGATCGAAGATTCTTCTGAATTTGTACTTGTTTGCTCGAGACAATGGGCAAAGTTTTGATTAGGTGCAATAGATTGATGATAACCCATGCATGTGTTAGTAGTTTTGTATCTATAAATTATATGAAGCGTAATGGTTTGTCTCCACTTATGGTTTAATCATTGTTCTATCATTCGTTTTTCAGCCAAAACTATGTTTAGATATGTACAATGACAAACACGTTCTTGCTGGGTGTTTGTGGCCAAAGGTCCCATTTGAAAATGATCGAGAATGAAATGGACTGTACAGGGAAAGTAAAATAGCAATTGGCATTGGAAACAGTTGTAGAAGACCAGAGATAAGGTTAAGCATGCTTTTGTTGGAAGCAGATGGAAGTTCAATCAATCTGGGAAATACATTATCAGTGAGGGGTATCAATGGTTGACTGGCAGCCAACAGAAAGCTGAGGAAGCTAAATGGATATGGTGTCGGGTAAATGTACCAAAGCATTCCTTTGTGGCGTGGCTATTTTGAAAAGCTAGATTGTGGACTAAGGACCGAATGATGAAATGCAATATCAAGATTGATGATACTAGCTGCTGTCTATGTAATGAATGTGAAGAGTCTATTCAGCACATTTTCTTTGAGTGCAAGTTTGCAGCAGAGGTGTTTAACAAACTGAAAGCTTGACTGGGCATTCAAATGCTAACCATCAAACAAGGCAAGTGGAAGGAAGAGTTGAAGTATGTATGGCAAGGGGCAAAGCTCAAAAAGCAGATTCTATATGCTGGAATTATGGCAAGTATCTACCATATTTGGGAGGAAAGAAACATCAGGATATTTTAGAATAGAAGGAGGGCTGAGGTGCAAGTATTCCAAATCCTTTAAAGAAGAGGTCCAGGTTGGAGTTAAGTATCTCTTTGTTCATAAAGCAACGATTAAGGAAAGAAACATTATAGACTGTTTATTTAGATAGTGGAAGGGTAAGGAATTGGAATGTAATAGATTGGTCAGGAAAGTGTACAGTGAAACAGGAAGTTTTTGGAAATAAAATGTTTACATTTTATCAAAAAAGAATGAAGTGGTGGGTGAAAATGTTAACACTGTACCACATGCAAGGCAATGGTTGGCCACAAGACAATGCTTCTGGATGTTGTTTGCTACTCATCGAAAATAATCAAATACATTGGTGGTTATGTCCGAGGCATCGGTTTTTATTACTTTGTAGTTTTGATTAAAAAAAAATTATTACTTGTAATTGTGTTCACCTTTTTTTTTTTTTATCTCAGCTGTTCATTTCGGCTTGGATACTCGTCCCATAACCTATCAGTGTATGTATATACTGATGTAAATGAATATTATAGTATTAAATATACACAATATTCATATATCCTAAATGTAACGTTCATGATAAAGTTAAATAATATTCATATATTTCAATTAAAAAAGTTCATGATAAATTCAATTAATATTGATACATCTCACTAAAAAAGTTATGATAAATTGGATTAATATTCATACATCTCAATATTCAAGATAAAATTGAATAATATTCATAAATCTGAAAAAAGTAATCTTGATAAATTTGATTAATATTCCTACATCTCAATAAAAAGAAATTATGTGACATGATTGTGTTATATTATGAGATATTCGAATTTTTTAAAGAGAAATTAATAAATATGTTTATGATATGTTTAAACCATAGCTGTATGGATTGTCATTGCAATCGATAGTCCTGAAAAAGCCATCACCATAACTGAAGTTTTCACCGTCACGATAGTTGAAGTCAATAGTCATAAATATGGATGCGATTGGATTGATCGTCTCTGGTATCCCCTGAATTCACTATTATAGGATCACAATTATAAGAATAATAGATTGAGTAGTAAAAAACTACAACAAAAAAAGGAGTTTAATTCAAATCAAAACCTAAAACAATTTAGTAAACCTAATTGAGAGTCTGCACTAATTGTTAGAAGATTTTTCTTTTTTTATAGATGATAAGTAGGTGAATCAACTTAGATTTTGAATTTGAGATACGATCACAATAGAGATAAATATTATAAAGAGATCAGTAGGTGCGTGTAGTTAAAATTATAAAAAATAGTTGAGACTTACTCTTCTTTTTTTGTAGGCGTGTATTATAACTCCTAAAACAGCTCCACATTTGTTGTGAACCTTGTTTACGATATATATATATATATATATATATATATATATATATATATATATATATATATATATATATATATATATATCTACATATATACTAAGGCGCGATCCACCGTTTGTGGCACCGTTTCTTCTCGGTGGACCGTCACCATTTTACAGCTTTCTTTGTCGTTAGTTACCGGCACTATTTTATCCCGGTAATTAACTTTTTTCCCCTTCGTGCTCAGTTTCTCTCTCCTCTCTCACCTTCTCTTTCCTCCATTTCTAATGCGTTCTCCCATTTGACAGAAATCCCCCCTCCCAAGTTCCTATCGGTTCATTTTTTATTTGTTTTGGGGAATTTTTCTTTCCAGATCTTGCTGCAAGGTGAGAAATTTCGAGAAGGAACCAAATTTACTTACCAGTTTGTTATAATTGTTGGGCCGAATTTCTGCCCCTTTCTTATCCCTCCTTCCTCCAATCTTTTTCATCCTAGATATGGTATCCGGTGTTGTTGACGGTGAAGAAATTGATGATTTCCCTTTCGTTTGTTTTGGAGATTTGTACTAGATTTGTTTTCTAGATTTGCACTACATTTGTCCAAACCCCCTCCAAAAGGTTTGGGTTTACAGCTTCTCCGAAATTGCTCGAAGCAGTTAGATTTCAACTGCTCTCTGTTTATCTATCTATTTGAAAAAGACGGCAACACATTGCACTTTCGTTTCGAGAAGAAATCAGAAGGTCGGTTTTTCTCTCTTTGATTTAATTCAAGTTAAATTTTTCTTGATTGATTTCCTAAAGTTTGAATGGCAGCCAATTCCTAAAGTTTGAATATGTATACTGGGTGTTTAATTCACTGGAACTGATGGATTTCCACCCCTTGTAGTTCTGCTTCCTTTCGTTGATGATTTTCATTGTTGTTGGTCCGAATGTCTGGTCTAGATTTCAAGAAACTATTATGCGGTTTTGTTGCGTGTTAGGTGTTTGATCTTAAGTCTAGGTGACTTTATTTCAAAAGCTTTTGAAGGAAAAGATAAATTTTGTGCTCTATAATATCTTTCTAATTTGGACAATTAGTTCGTACGTCTATTTGGCATGTAAAGATGGATATGGAATATCATCTTGAAAATTTAGTCCACAAGATTTGTCGTAATTGTGATTGTTAATTGGAATAAGCTTGTACAATTGCATGATCAAAAGTTTCATGGTTTGTGAGCTAGCAGCTAATCCTCTTAAAATGAATTAGTACGGGATATTAAATTATGTTTACTGTTCTTTCACTTCTGTATTATGCTCTTTCATGTTGAGCTCTTCTTATTCTATCTTACTTCAGATTTAGACGCAGGGAATGAGGCAAGGAGTTGTTCCTTACAATGGCATAATATCTACTTTGAGACAAAGTACATGAAGAAGGAGATGGTACCAAAACACAATTTAAAATATCAATCCAAATCTAAATTAAAAAAACAAAAGCAAGGCTTGTCCAATACAAGCTGATACAAATCTTGAGGTAAAGGTGGAAGAGTTACATCGACGAGGAAGTTATGAATTTTACAAGACTTGAAAAGTTACAAATCCAATATTATGGACTCCAAAACTCAAGAAAAAAAAAAAGAGATGCAAACCACAAAAAACTTGCAACCCAATCGGGACCTTCGATTTATGGATAGAATAGCTAGCGAAAAGGCTCCAATGAACAACTAACAAAGCTCCACAAGTAGAAAAACACATAATCTACTTGCATGCATCAACAAAGCACAAGCTTGTGTGCAATGCAACTAGTCTTCGAAAAGAATTAAAAAAAAAACAAAGAGTTTCCTCTCATCTCTTATTGAGATATCAAATTCATCAAGGGTACAAATGAAAAGCTGGCTAAACACCCCTATTTATAATAGAGGGGGCCGAAAATTCTCCTATCAATTAGGAGAAGAGTTTGATCTCTAACTCTATTCCTACTTTAAAGAACTAGAAATCAACTTAACCTCTAATTGACAACTTGTGTCTTGTTTATTAAGACAATGTATCTAGACACCTTTATAGACTTAAGAAACACTAGTCTAATTAAAATAAAACTCCAAATACAAAGAGATATTCTCTCAAAAGAATCTTATCCTTACCTTGAAGAGAATCTTCCTGAGTTGCCAACTCTATTAATATCTCCTTTGTAGAGTAATCATAGCCATCCAATCTTGATCTAATCTTTATCTAACGTTTGAGAGTAGACACCAAGGAATAGAATTCTTATTTTGAATAAACTCTAAACTAGATAAAAGAGAATCATATCAAATCTTATCCTTCCATTTGATTAGATTTAAATGATCTTATCTCTAAAAGATAGGGAATATTCCAAATCTTATCCTTCCACAAGTGTGATAAGATTTAAATAATTTTATCCCTAAAAAATAATGATTCCAACTCCTAAAAATTAGGAGATAGGGCCGGCCTCCCTTGCTTTGTTTGTGGGCCAAAATTTCCTTCCTCAAATGGGCCTTGTAACACATTAATAATCTTGGGCTTGTAACTTCCAGACTTGACATTCTCTTGGGCCAAACCGTTTGATATAAGATTATTAAGTGCACTCTTCATTCTTTTATTCCTAGCTCGAGTCATTAGACCTCCAATGTTGGATAATGGATCTTGAACCACACCTTGAGCTTGAACATTATTTGGAACCCCAATACCTTGATCATTTTGGACTTGATCACCAGGGATGTTCACATCACAAGCCCTAAGTCACTACTCTTCTCCGTGTCCGACGGAAAGCATTTGTGATTCCTCTCCAGCTTTAACGACCAACTCTTTAGAAATGTGCATAGTGGTTTCAAGGGTACCAGTTCGCTTAATTTTGTTTCTCCTTTTGACGTGTTGGCTTTTATCGCTCTATTCAGAGTTATGTTTGTCTAGAACAAAAAAGGGAAACTGCTGATGAAGACAGAGAATGTGGTGTGAAGCCGCACTCCAAAAAGCCTCTTGCAAAACAAAGTACCAGTTATGATGATTCAAAGCAGAATGACAGAAAAACAATATTGGATTTCGAGAGTATATTGCTTTCAAAATCAACTCAGATTCAGAAGCCTAAAAAAGACACTATGTGGCTTTTACACAGTAACCTTCTACGCCATTACTTCTGTTGAATTAAGTAGCCCTAACTAATGGAAGAAGCAATAAACACATGATCTACTTATAAGTTACCACATCCAAACTGACACCCCAGTTCATGATCTACTTACAAGTTACAACATCTAAATTGAAACTCCAGTTCACTGTTTTTCTACTTTGGTATAGCCGGCTCCCAAGATAAAGAAAAGGGAAGGATCCTCTTTGCATACTCTCCACATGACTTGGACGACAATCATCCGCAATTAGTAGGAAGCTCTTTTGCCGATTCATTTTGAGTCGATACGGTCTCATAGGTTTCAACGAACATGTTTACATTCTTGTCTTTGCAACCCTCTAGTGAGTATGATCAAGTCATTAGTAAAACAAAGATGAGAAACCATAAAAAATCTCGCTAGCTTGCCATATCTAGCCAACTTTCTAGAATTAACTTGGGCTTTCAATCTTCTTTGTCTTAGCCTCAAAACGTGCCATAATTAAATGCTAATAATTCTTGTAAAAAAAATTAAGTGATTCTCATTTGTCAAAAAAAAAAAAAAAAAAAAAAAACCAGAAAAGAAAATAAAGAAAAAGTATATCATGATCATTTTAGTCATTTGAACGTTTAATCCCTCTTTCAGGGGCTATATGGTAAGGCTAAACTTCGGGAGGTAAAATACTATTCGTCTTTCATTAATTCTTGAGAATTAGTTATTTGTGTCCTATATTAAGTAACAGAGTTATCCCAGTATTCTAACCATGGCCTTAACCTAATGGGAGTCATCGAATCTGTGAACCCCTCCCACAACAAATTTGGCATCATAATTATACATCACATTAAAATCACTTGATCGTTTAACCTTCCCGTGTCTTGCCTTTTGCGTGATATCAGAAACAATTTCGAATATAAAAAATGTGTATCACAAGAATTTCTCATGTTTTTGACCTTTTTCTAGAGCTATTACAGAGAAAAACTGGTCCCTGATGACAGGGGAAGAAATTAATCAAGAAACTGCGACCTTTGCAGTATTTTCCAGACGATACACATTAGACCTTTCCTTGACTAACAGTTCCTTTAAAAACGTAGAGGAAATCGCCGTTTTCGACACCATGCCAACGAAGACTGCAACTCTCGCGCATGATCCTCTGTTTGTGAATGAAAATGTAATCATCAGGGGGAAGGATTTTTTCCTTCAACAAGAATTGCCTCAGTTCAGAAACTGTACTCGAATCCCTGATCATGTCCAAAGGGATCATCGCCGAATTCAGCAGACAAGAAGCCGTCTGAACCATAACATTAAGCAGCGGCGTTCTCGAAACAGGCAACTGATCAGCAGCAGAAACCGCACTTTTCAAGAAGACAACAATCTCCGCATTGTCAGAAATCCCGTAAGCGGTTAAGTACCGAAACTCCTCGTCCAGTTCCCGGCCCGCGAAAAACAACGCCATTCTCTTAATCGGGGTGCCATCAACAATGTGGATCTTCTCCTTGAGGCTTCGTACCGTCTCTGTTTGATCCACCTCGAGTACGATCTTTCTCGCGGAGAATTTCACCGTGATCCGGTTTTTACTGTTTGCTGGTGGCAGGGGAATTGGCGCCGGTTTTCTGATGGTCAGAACGATCTTCGTGGATTCGTCGATTGTGGAATAGTCTTCCATGTCTAGACCATCAATCAGCTCCCAACCCCAAATGGAGAGAGCTTGCGAGGCCACTGGAATTCTTAAAATATGCTCAATTTTCTGCTTGATTCTCAGGACAGATTCTTGTGGCTCTACATCAAGGGAAAATTCAGAGCCTTCTACTGAGATTGTGACCTTCATTGATGAGGGAATTGATCAGATGATGATGAGAGAAAAATGTGTTAGCGATCAAATTCTCTGGTTCTTTTGATGTGTGTAATTGGGATTGGTATATATGATTATTATTAGTCATGTTGTAAGTATGAGTTATTGACCATTTGGAATGATGTTTGGGCATTTCCTAACTGATTTTTTTTCTCTTGAGAAGGGACTGAGGGTCATGAGTAGCGACAATCCCTTTGGTTTTGAAGCTTGGAACCAAGTTTAAAGTTATATAATAGTTTCAAATTGTTTTGAGTAATAGGAGACCTAAGAAGCTATATCAGTATTTTGACTATTATGAACCAATAACATCTGTTCTCTTATTCTGAATATTTTATTTAATCATTGACCACTTATATTATTCTTTTTTAGTGTCGCGGAAAATATAAGGGTACAGAATGTCAATGCAGTTGATGCTAGTGTGCTACTATTGTTTTTTTCTTTCTTTATTTTTTTTTTTTTGTGTTCCAAACTACTACAAGATCTTATAACAATTTCAAATTTAGACAAAAAAATATTACTTTTCACGCTAAAACTAATCTTATAGGGGTGTCATGTGATGATGCCCTATGTTAGCATAATTTACATTACTTACATGCTAAAACAATTATACATTGTTTTTAGGAATTTTTTTTCGCCCTTTTAGATCAAAGTTCTCGAAATTGAAATGACTAAATTTATTTCAGAAAAAGGGAGATTATTCTACCTCTATAATTTTATTTTGGTTTCTTATTTCCCAAAACTGACAAGACCCCCAATTCGCTTATATATATATACACACACATCGTTACTACATTATTCATTCTCTAGTATGATAATCTTGTTTTTTGATTTCGTATTTAAGACAACTTACTGAAACTATTAATTTTGGTTTTGGAATTATACTTATTGTAACTTTGAGGAAGTAAAAAAATCATTTAACAAGTTAATTGAAATCTATAACAATGAGATTCTAAGATTCCTGTATTTAACCCATTATTTAACCAATATTTAGAATGGTTTTTTCAGAAAGTATTTTGCTCTAAAATGATTGTTTATAATTTTATAGTGTTATACAGAGGGGAGATAAATTATTTCTACAAAATTTTTAATTATCTTATGTAATCAAAAATCAAAATCCACCTGGAGTTAAAAGAAAATTCCAAAAACCTTTTCAGGAACACTATTCGGTCCTTAATTTGTACAATGATGTCATATTCAGCCGTTTCTTACTTTCTTCCTTACACATAATAAATAATAAATTCGGACACTAAAACGACTAAGAAAACACAGAGAAGAAAGGAGCTCGGAAGAAAATGGTGGAGCGGAAGCTTTACAAGACGAGGCTTTGCGTTTTGTACCAGAAAGGCCAGTGTCGTCGTCAGGACTGCTCATTTGCCCATGGAAACGCTGAGCTTCGTGGCTCCTTCAATGGTATAGATTTCTGATTTCTTCGCTGCTTTATCAAAATTTATCATTACAAAGTCCGCTTTCTATGTCAGTCTTGGCTTACTCTTCCATCTTTTGCTTGGTATGAGTTTGTAAGTTAATCAGGAAAATGGATATCAGGGCCGACTCATATGACTTAATTGCGCGAATTTCATTTTTTTTTTTCACCCGCTTTCTGCTTTATGATTTGTTTAGGCTTATGAGTTTAAATTTGGAAACGGCTCCATTTGGAATTTGAAATTCGAAATTAGAACTTTGGAAGATAGGTCATGTTTTTGGGGAAATTGAGAATGAGAAACAGGTGCAATTTTTTGGAAATGGGTTGGGGGAATTTTGAAAATGTAAAGATAAATTAGAGGGTTCAATGGTGAATTGCTCTGTAGGAACAGCTGTTAGTAGATTATATTAGCCTTTAGTAATGTAGAATATTCTCTAACGAGGAACATACATATTCCACTACGCTTATGAGAAAGAAAGGTGGCCTACTCTAAGTTATGTAATGTCTTTGGACTTCTGTTGCTCAGTTTACGGCTTTTGTACTGTTAAGGGTGGCTTCGTTCTAATAAATTTTCGTTTTTATGGATTCTGAGTTGGCAACAAAGGTGTTAAAATATGCACTGAAGGAGATATTGAGTACTTGCACTTATTGATTGGTTTGAAGAAATAACATCAACTTTCACCTTGAATATATATTCGTCCAGTCATTATATTGATATCTTGGATCTAGTAACTGGCTAATTGAGCATTGCTTATTCGGAAGTCCTGGTTGCTTGATCTTTTTCTGGTTCTGGAACTACTTCGCGCTTGTGCCCTTGCACCTCGTATGAACAGATGAAGATGCATTTGCTATTAAACCACTATCTTGGTGCTATCCAAAAGCTATATTATTCACACATCCCTCCACCCATTTATTTCAAAGTCCTAAGGTGTGGAATTCATCCAATTCGCTTCTTTGAACTTATGCTACACGGTCATTTTGTGAGTAGTGGAATCGGTTCGATGAGTTATTCTATAGTACGTACTTAAGGAGATTCTCTATTACTGAAGAGCAAAAGGATGCCTACTATGTTCTATCATTTGCAGCTGTATTTTGAATGGTTTTCTTTAATCCAGAATAAAGCTCGATGGAATCTCTTATTTGCTTGGTTATCTCTATGCATAAGTAGCTCATACGTGTCTTTATTCTGCATGAGAGCAGTAAATACTTTGGCTCCTTTGGAACACCCAAGTTGGAACTATTATTGTTCATTATATTGTGACTCATATTGTTCATTATTATGGTAAGCTTATTTTTTGTTAAATAGTTGCTGGATTACTGATGTTTGTGTTTTAAGTTATATTTATTGACTATTACTCATGTCTATCCTGCTTAATATTTCTCGTGTTCTCATCTCAGGTAGGCGGGATTACCCTGGTGGTGATTTGAGGGATAGGCTTGACCGAAGGAGGCACTCGCCACAACATAGTTATTCCCCTGGGAGATATGTACACAAGCAGCACGCGACACATGGTTAGCAATATCTATGTTTTTTGTTTTCTTACCTTGGTTGTTCAATATCTTTCAATCCTTGTTTATCTTAATGAGTAAGGCAAGCGAATTGGAATATGTCCATTCCAACTGGCCGTTTAACCTGTTATATATAGACTTAATGTAGTTTGCTTTATGCTTTTCGCTCTCTTTGTTCTTTTATTCGAGGGTGTGGGGTGGTGGGGCTCAAGGATGTATTCTTGCTTTTCTTGGCTGGGACAAAGCTGCAGCTAATCGTGCTTGTTTCCTTTTTCTCTTTCAGGGGACAGTCCTAGACCACATGAAAGGATGAGGTAATTACTTTTGTTGCAGCACTTAAGATGTCTGTTAGATTGATAGTTTTATTTTCAGTTGATTGGCATTAAGCTATGCTGATGTTCTTTTCATGGGCACCTTGTCAAGTTCTGTGGTTGACTGTATTCTGGGCATGTTCGAATGATTGCTCTTACTAACGAAGTCAGGCATTTGTTTTACTTTTCTTTTCTTTGACACTAAATGATTTGCATGTCAGGCATTTGTTCTACTTTTCGTTTCTTTGACACTAAATGATTTGGATGTCAGTCCAGGACCTTTTGCATATTTTGATAATGATTGCTCTACTATGAATGCAACGTGTTTGGGCTATGTCTAATGGTTTCTCATTTTGCATATTTTGTGTGTTCTACATATTCACTGCGTAGCTTTTAGAATGAACATTTTGCATTGAACTTATTCCTTGGAGCTCCCGTTAATGTCTAAAAGAGTATACCTGATTGGTGTGGAAATGTACAGCTGCATTTGTTGATACAATTTACGTTTTTCCTCTCATATAGTATTCACTTTAGAACTGGGGTAACGAAAAAAAATGTGTCAGTACTATACCATGAAAGTGGTGGAATTCAAATCAACTAATTTTTAAATTTTTGATATTGAAATTGTAAAACAATTTGAGGAAAGGATCTGTTTGGAGTAGGATTTCCTCTATTAAATGTTTGGAAGACCTTAGTTCTCTACATTGGACAATGGACCCTTTTCACTCAATTTCTTCTCTTGACTAGTTCATCCTTAAGGTTGTTGTCAAAGGGTTTCTTTCTTGAAAATGGATCCAGTGAGAAAGATTGCTTACGTTGATAGGCACAAAAAATTGTCACAATCAATTTCAGGAGTCGTAAAAGAAATTGTATGAAGACTAGGAACTTCCTCACTTTGTTGAGTAGCTGTGGTGTCTTGGCAAGGACTTGTGTCAGAAGTGAGGGTTGGTTTGATGAAAAATGTGCTTGAATCCTCACACATTTATGTGAAGAAATTGATAAAATTATCAGAAGTGAAAGATGGCTTTAACTGGTTTAAATTTAGAGATAGTTAAAAGTATACAGAAGGGGCCATTTGTACCATGTCTCTTTAATAAACAAAATGATGATGGGGAAAAGCCAGTGTGTTTGTAGATAATATTGGGGAGAGAGGCATGTGATTGTGTTTGTCCAATAAGCAAAATGGTTAGAGGAAAAGGACATTGTTAATAACAATATGGGGTATAAACTATGGATACTAAAAATACTAGAGTCCGGCGCATGTTGGTATTGTTGTAGATATTATTCATGGGATTAGGAATATAGTAGAGATTAGGAATATAGCCCCTGAATTTATTGTACCTGAAGAATGTCTGAATATAGTTTGTTTTATTCGCTGATTAAGAATAAAGCAGTTTTGGTCTAGATCATCCATCAATTATAACTTACAATAGGTGGGACTTAAATAAGCTTGCTTAGAATGGAAATACATAATGAAGCTATAGTTAGTTTAGATTTTGTAGTATCTTACGATGGGGCCATAAGTAATATCTTAATTCCAATACCCAATAGTCAGACCCTATCAAGGCCCCCTGGAGATTCTTTTATGCACGCTTGTGCTGCATCTGATTTATATAGTTGAAAGAACAGTATAAGTTAATGACATTGTTTTCGTCATTGAAATTAAATCCAGGATTTTGGGTTTCGGGGAGTTGAGTATTGAATGTGATATAATTTATTTTCTGTATGTTAGTTCTCATGTGTTTCATTGTAACCTTTTGTAATGTAATCTATTTCTAAGATCAAATATCTCACATTAACTGTCAGGAAACGCACAAAGACACAACATTTGGAAGGACAAAGTGATTTTCATGGAAATTTGAGATCGTCAGAGGGCAGTGAAGATAAAGTTAGAGGCTTGAGACAGACGTCTTTGGAATCAAGAGATTTTATTAAAGAAAAGGTTTAAAAACATTTTGCTTTAATTTTTTCCCTCAATGGTTATTGCTTTCTTTGGATTCCACAAAGGTTTATAGCTGTTGATTAACCACCTATTGTGTTTCTTCTGGCATTTGTGCAGCTTAGACAAGCTCAATCTGAAATTAAAATTCTAGATGACAACAAACGAGAATTGGAGGTTGGTTGAAGTTTGTATACGTTAATTACCTTACCACATGCTGTACTTTTTTTGTAATCTTCAATCTCTCTTCAGTTTTGCTTATTTATGTTAACTGGAACTAGATTTTGAAGTATTTGGACATTTAGCTATTGTGGATCCCGTACGACTCTTAGTTTCTTATCCCTAACATTTTTAGTGACTATACTGGATGGTGCTGTAGTTTCTAAAGATCAAGCAAGCAAGCCTGTGTATTTTTGGCCTTTTTTATTTGTTGAGGTGTGATGTCCAATTTATTCATTATTAAATCTCAATGTTCTTGTATGGGAGTTTCTTTTGGGTTCTTTGCATCTCAACTACCACTTTACAGATAACAACTTCTTTGACCCTCCAAATCTTGGTTTGATTATGTTAGCTTGTTACTAGACCTATAAGTGGTCGGATGAAGAATATAATGGATTCTTAAACTTGTGATTCTCGTAATTTGTCCGTGAAATTATACTGTATCACTTGGTTATTGTAATCTCTCCTGTTTGCGCATTGTTTCTTTTGGTTTTCATCGTTGTGATCCTTGAAAATTTGATTGTATTTGTTTGCAGAATTACCTGCAAGTAATGACTCTTGAAGCTGACAATCTAAATTTGAGAGTTCAGGAGCTAGAAATACAACTCAGCCGAGAAAAAGAGGAATATGACAGGTCAGATAGAAAAATGGCTTCCATATCTGATTTTCGCTGTGATGAAGAGCTAAAAGGGAACTAGCCTTCGTGCCATTGTGATGATCCAGTCTAATCATCTTGATGGTTAGATCTTACGGTTTTTTGTTTCTCTATTTGGTGGAATCATCCAGGTTAACTTCCAAGATTAAGAAGTTCGTGAAGGCATACAATCGTCAAATGGATCTAGAAGATGAACTCAAAAGGCATGTTGTGGAGTGTCTATCCATCCTCTGTCTGAGAGACATTTTTCAAACTTTTGAATGTATAATTTGCTTTATTTTTTGTCATTTCCAGGTCACGTTCTCGATTTCAGAAGCTTGGGGATCAACTTTCTTTAGATTTCTCTCGATTTGGTTCAAGTGAGGAGGACGTAATTTTGAATAACAGAAGTATAGGAGATAGTGCTGGTAATCATGGAAGCCCAAAGTATGGTGTGCCAAATTCTGCTTCTCCAAGTAGAAAAAGGTCTCGACTTCACTCTGAAACTGATACTACATTAATTCAAGGTAATACGTGAATGTGCAGAAATATGAGTGCATTTCTTTTCAGTGATTTTGAATCCAGCATTGCTATAATTGCTGTTTCAAAGATTTGTTTGCTGGCCTACAAAAGGCTATTGAGGCAAGTGAGTTGACTGCTAAACATTTTGTTTCTTTCCAGCGAAAGACCAAGACCTTTTGGTTGATAATGTTAGGTCAAAGAAGCTTTCTAGATGGAGTACTCGGTCCAGTACTAAGAAAAATGCAGACTTACACAACACTTCAAGGGATTTGTCAAGATCCTCAGCAGATGAATACAAGTCCAAGAAGTCAAAGGATTCCTCGGTTGATAGGTCAATGTTTGATAAGGTTATAAGATTCTACTTTATTATTTTTCTGTCATCCTTCTGGCAATGCCAATGTTTGATGGGGTTACCAGATTCCACTGCGTCGTTATTTGTGTCATCTTTCTTTTCTTAAATTGCTTGCTACAGGCATTAGTGGTAAAATCTTTATGATGGCCTTGAATTAAAGAATTGTCATTTTATGATTGATGAATGAGGCAGATATGTTGGCCTTTAGGACCGGATACTCTGTTACTATATCTAGAAAATAGAAGCACTTTACCCCCATGCATTTTGTTCCTAGGAGGCTAATAAGATTTGTGCTTCTCATGTTTTCTGCCAGTTTTAAGTTACATGTTGAAGTTTGTGAATTTCAACTACTGATTCTGCAAGTCTCATATTTTTTCCCTTTATTTATAGGAGTATATATTTTTTAGTTGTTTCTTATCTAAATTTTTGAGGACATCTTTCACTACATCCAAGCCCATAGATGTATAGCGGTCCTTACCTAGATGTCCCTGTTGGTCCCTGTTATACACTCCATTGGGATAGGCCTACAGTTCCCATAATTTTTTACATAATTGTATTTGTGAAAAGTGATAGATTTCTATGTTACCAGTAGAGCAATCCTTCTCTAAGTGAATTTCAACTACTGATTCTGCAAGTCTCATTTTTTTTTCTTTATTTATTGGATTATATATTTTTTTAGTTGTTTCTTATCTAAATTTGTGAGGACTCTTGTCTCTCTCACTACATCCAAGCCCATAGATGCATAGCGGCCATTACCTAGATGCCGCTGTTGGGCACTGTTATACACTCCATGGGAATAGCCCTACAGTTTCCATAATTTTTTACATAATGGTATCGTGAAAAGTGATAGATTTCTATGTTATCTGTAGAGCAATCCTTCTCATCCTACGTCAAAGAACTCTGGAAAAGAGCTAACAACTATGATTCAGGAAGCTCATAAGAAGTGGAGTTATTAATTTCTTAATGTCAATTCAGATGAAATAATGAATTGTTTCCTTTAAGTTTAAACTGATTAGATACTTTTTTTAAGATTTCTGTCCTTGTCTTAATGTTGTTCAATCCCCTTTTCAAATATGAGTTATAATTCATTGTTTTTTCTCTTCTCAAAGATCCTGTGTAACTATCTATTGTAACGGCTGAATTTCCTGTTGCGATCTCTGCTTCCTTTGGCATCTTCTTCTTATTCATTGATATATTTTTGGTGTGTTCAAGTTTCTTTGTTGCAAACTAATTATTAATGATCCTCCGTTATCGGTAACAAATTTTGTAAGACTAAGACTATGCAGTCAGTTAATGTTGAAATTGACCAATGTGAAGCTGCCAAAGAAACACATGTAACAGATGTCTTGGTGTTTGTTATCTTCATTTGGTGGCTAATGTTCCAATGGCCTTCTGATCTTTTATTGCAGTCGAGGACATCCGAAACAGGACATCTGTTGCCGTCAACTAGCTTGGCTACCAATCCGATGGATGAAGTTGTTGATATTGTTGAAACAGATGAGAAGTCGAGCGGAACTGGAGTTCAAAAAGATGTGGCGTTCAAGATTCCACCATTACCTCTTCCACCTGCACCACCTATACTTCCTCCGCCTATTCCTCAAAATGCTTACGCAGAGGTCAGTTTAATGTTTTCAGACGTTTTAATTTGTTTGTCAAGCACTAGTGGCACCAATATGTTCACTGGTTGAACTTTCAGGAACACCACTTGCTTTAACATGTCTCCTTTTGGCTATTGTCATTCATCGTTCAAACCAGCGTCTGCCAAAGTCATCTTTGTACATTGTGAGATGTACATTTTTATTTTGGTTTTAGATAAAGAAATAGAAACTAAATATGACAAATTCCTGCCATTTTAGCATGTAAATTTCATTTTCAGTATCAAATTAATGAAATTGCCTCTGTAGCTATTCTGTACAAGCTCTTTTGTGACATTTCATCTGATTGTGAATGAAATATTCAATGGACATGAAATGAATGGAGGCATGTTGTTCTCTGCTTGTTTTGGTTTGCAGAATCTGGGGACTTTGCGTATCTATTTAATGAAAAGTGTAATAGTTTTTGTTTCTACATGGACCTAATGTGTGGATGCTAAAATTAACTATATTCTGATATGCACTCATTTCGCTTACTCGCAGTATAAGGGTGCTGATGAGAATGTAGATGTAGATGGGATCGAGGAGGAAGCAGTGGAAGTAGATATTGTTTAAAGTTCGTATCTTTCAGCCATTATGCATTATCCAGTCTATCGCCCATCATGTAGTGGAGTATATGTTGACAACTCTGGCGTATTTGAAGAAGATTTTGTACCCGGCTGTGCTTAATGTACTGGGGATCATCAGGTAGTGGTTGTACATGTTGACGGCTCACTTTGCAGTATATGCTGACAACTGTGTCCTGTTAAAGCAGATTTTGTTTGGTTGAAGCTCTTGTCTGGTAGCTTTTTGTGCGTAATGCAGAGTAAACAGAGATCGGGTAGTGTTTGTAAATGTCGGATGACTCATTTCGCAGATGGTGTACAGTATTTAAAAGCCATGGGACAGAAATCAAAATTCGACTTTTAGTATATTGAATGCTAACTAATTAATGCAAAAATATTCCATTTGAAATGTATGCTTGAATTTCGAATTCAACTGTCTTTTTATCTTTATCAAGTTCAAGTGCCGTACTGGTTTGAAAGAGATGACAACGTCTTGTTAGACATTTACTGCGCTAATGGGACGAAGCTTAGCTAGTACTAAACATCTGTTTTTTATTTTATTTTTTATTTTTTAAAAAAAGCTTTTTTAAAAGTCTGATTTTATTGATTTGGAATGAAGAAGGTACAAAATTCAGCGGATAGCACTGCTAATAGATCTACAATTTCAGTGCTCTTAGATACTCCCTCTGTCCCAATATTATTGTCTAGTTTAAAATTTCACTTTTAGTACAATTTGAACTAGAAATAAAAACTCAAACTGGACAATAATTATGGGACGGAGGGAGTACTATAAACTTCTTTGGTCAAGTGCAGCTAGTCCTTTCGAAGCTCGAGTTAAGGAGACATGGGTGAATTGTGTTGTCGTCTCTTGTGAGCTGGCCATCTTTGCTAGTTCATTGCTACAGCATTTGCTTCGCGGTAGATGTGTCTAACTTGCACTCTGGTTTGAAGGCTCTTTGGGAGTGATTTTGCGTCAGTTTCAGGTTCTACAAGGGTGTATCCAAGTTCTTGGCAGAGCTGTAATCCTCTTAAAAAAGCTTGAACCTCGGCTTCATAGTTCATGGCATGACCCAAGTACATAACTAACATCAGGTTTCCCAAGGTTGATCCAAGTTTTACGAAAAATTTTATTCTCAACTTAATTCAATTGCTAAGACTTTTAAGTGTCGATTATTAAACAAATTAAGATAACTCTGTGAAGTAATCAAACGAATCAATTGGCTATATGAAGAAGAAGTGATTATCAATTTTAGTCATCAGCATAAATTAAGTGACAGGTTTATTAGATCCCTTGTCTACTTAGATATGTCTACCACTGAAGAACAAATAATAATAAGATTTAGTACTCGTCTTTCCATTGGTCAGCCTCATTGCCATAGATTGAACGTCCAATTTCCATGACTTCCTCGTTAAGTGCAGCCATAGCTTGTTTAATGGCCTGCGTTGAACCCTGAGAAATTGCATCCTTAAGCTCCATGAGTTTACCCTCAACCTGCATTTTCACATTTTCAGGAACCTTATCACCAAATTCCGTCATCTGTTTCTCAGTCTGATAAACAACAGAATCTGCCTGATTCTTGATGTCTATTGCATCTCTCTTCTCTGCATCTTCCTTGGCGAACTCTTCCGCTTCTCGAACCATTCGCTCTACCTCATTACTTGGCAATGTGCTTGCGCCTGTGATGGTGATATTCTGCTTCTTTCCACTGCCTTTATCAGTGGCTGTCACAGAAAGAATACCATTTGTATCAATGTCAAACCTAACTTCAATATTAGGGACTCCCTGAGGGGCAGGCGGTATCCCACAAAGGACGAAATTACCTAACAATTTATTGTCCTTTACAAAGGTTCTTTCACCTTGAACAACATCAATAACCACACTAGTCTGTCTATCGTAAGCAGTTGTGTAAACCTTCGACATTGAAGTAGGAATGGTTGTATTTCTCGGAATGATCTTTGACATAAGACCGCCGGTTATATCCGTTCCCAATGACAACGGCGCAACATCTAAAAGAACAATGTCACTAACATCTCCAGCCAAAACACCAGCCTGAACAGCTGCACCTAAGGCAACAACTTCATCAGGATTGACAGTTACATTTGGTTCCTTTTCTGTCAATAAGAAAACAAGTTCCTGAACAGCAGGAATTCGCGTCGAACCCCCAACCATGATCACTTCATCTATGTCGCTGAATGAACGGTTGCATCCTTCATTGCATCCTTCACCGGTTTTTCGAGCCTGCCGAGTAAATCGGAACAAAGTTCCTCAAATTTAGCCCTGGTGAGAACCGTTTCAATGTGCTCGGGACCATCTTCTGAAGTGGCTGTAATAAAAGGCAAGCTGATGATTGTCTGAGACAAAGAAGATAATTCCATTTTAGCCTTTTCAGCAGCTTCAGTGAGGCGCTGGAGAGCTCGTTTGTCCTTTAACAGATCCACCAAACCTCCTTCATCTTTCTTGAAATTCTCAGCAATCCAATCCACGATTCTCTTATCAAAATCATCACCACCAAGATGAGTGTCTCCAGCCGTCGCGAGAACCTCGAAAACACCATCGCCAACTTCAAGGACCGAAACATCAAACGTGCCACCCCCTAGGTCAAATACCAAAATGGTTTCGTTTTTGCCTTTTCGTTCTAAACCATAAGCCAAAGCCGCCGCGGTGGGTTCGTTGATGATCCGAAGAACCTCTAAACCCGCGATTCGGCCCGCATCCCTCGTTGCAGTCCTCTGAGAATCATTGAAATACGCTGGAACCGTAACAACCGCTTTAGTAACCTTATCACTCAAAAACTTTGATGCGTCATCAACGAGCTTCCTCAAAACCTGAGCTGAGATTTCTTCGGCCGAAAACCGCTTCCCGACAGCCGGACACCCGAGTTTGACATTGCCATTTTCGGCCCTAACAACATGGTACGAAACCTGTTTAGATTCATCGTCCACTTCAGACATTTTCCTCCCAATAAACCTCTTCACCGAAAAGTAGGTATTTTCGGGATTTAGAACCGCCTGCCTTTTGGCAATGTGCCCAACAAGTCTATCTCCGTTCTTTGTATACGCCACCCCGGACGGAGTTGTTCTTTGCCCATCCGCATTAGTCACAATTGTAGGCTTACCGCCTTCCATAACCGCCACGGCGGAATTCGTCGTCCCTAAGTCTATGCCCACAGCTTTCTCTGCCACCGCTCGCAACGGCCGGGAATTATTGCTGGCATACTTAAGCTTCAACACTAAGGAGGTCCTGTTTCGGCCGAAGAAAATACTTTTGGTGGATATATTTAGGGTTGGACTAGGCGATGGAAAATGAGAAGTTGTTACTCCGAGAGAATGAATTTGAGCAGTTGAGGAAGCCATGTTCGACAGTCTATATCCACTCAGGTTCAAACCCTAAATCCAAGTTCATAGGAGGCGGAAGAGGGAAGAAAGGAGTTTTAGAGATTTTCAGGTTTAGGGTATAATTCATAATATCATTGCCATTTCGCATAGAAGTGTCGTTGACTGTAAGTAGACAAAAGCTCAAATGTGACACCATTAATTGAGCTAATATAGGTGCAATTCATGGTCCCTTGGTCCATTTTTATGTACTCCTACTTTGTGGTAATGTTTCATTTTTTTTTTTTTTGGGCGAACTATATTTTACCCCCGAGTTATGGCCTCATAACAAATACACCTTTGAATTTTGGTCATACTACAATTACCCCCTTTAACAGGGTTATACTTTGAGTCAATGCCCGAAAATAGTTAAATGTCCAAAAACCCACGGCAAATGTGATTGAGAATAAATTATAAAAAAGGGAAATATTGTGATAAATTTTTAATGACAAAACTATCCCTTTTCCTCTCTACTTACAACCCTAAATGTCAAAATTATCTATGAATTCAATCCACCTCCAAAACAGCCGTTGTTGCCGCCGGCCTTCCATCTTTTCAAACATTCTGCCATCGCCATCTTTTCCGGCCCCTCTAGGCCTCTATCTTTAGCCCTTTTCTCGTAAATTTCTAAAAACGGATAGGCTAGTTTAATTTAATTTAAAGTCAATGATTTTGTTTCTATCCAGACTTACTGCAATTTTTTTTTTTTTTTCCGTTCATGCCATATATGCATCGCTTCCTCATGTTCAATAGCTTCTTTGCTAATAAGGAGAGATTGAGCCCATGATGGTGATAAAAAGGTTTACAATGGGTTACCCGAGATGGAGCATTCGAAGCTTTCTGATAGCCGATTATCATTTGGCTTGGATTAATTCAAATCTCGGAATGGCGGGTTGAGTTTTTTCTTTTCTTTTATTCGTTTCTGGCTAGGAGAAGAAAAATAAAAATTGAATCAATTTTTTTCCTACTTTTTTTTGGTTGTGAATGGTGTGTTATTCTAAAAGTGATTAGAACGGATGGAAGATGAATTTTGATTGTTTGAGCATATCCAACTTTTTCCGGGGGTTGGATTTTGATTGTTGTTGATGATAAAAGAATTTTTGGTCATTGGCGGAGGTGACGATAAAAAAATTCTCTGGATAATTATTTTGATGGGAAAAATAAAGCAGGAAAAGGACATGTTTCTTTTTCTTTTTTTTTTTATTTGATGTTTGAAATTCTAAAAAGCAAAAAAAAAAACAAAGGGGCAGTACATGGGAAAAAAAGTAGGACCCTTCTAACAGAAGGATATATTCGTCAGTTTGCACCTAAGGTTTGCTGACATCAGCACGGTATATTCATTTTCTGATGAGCAAGGGTTCATCGGTTAGATGATCAAGGACTCAGGGGGTAATTGGGCCCTTTTTTTCTAAAAAAATGCATTTTTCGTTGGGCCCGGGGTCAATATTAATTAGGCCAAATTGGGCCCTTTTCCCCCTAATAATGAAACCTTATAAACTATATGTGGCTTTCTACTTAGTTTTACAAGGCGTTGAAGTAATCAATTAAATTATTAACCATTTTAGATAAAGAAAATTCACCCAATGCATCAATTCTAATTCATAGTAATGTTTGAATAATTTTATTTTTCCTAGATTAATCTGAACGTACTTCGCATTGGGACGAATGTGCATATTCATTTCCAGAGCTTCAGCATGTGAAAGGAAATTACGAAGAGTTGCATTTTTATTGCAGAAACAGAAAAATTATTAAGTCTTAATATCAAGAGGACAATTGCGATGGTCTGTTCTACAAACTTCCTACTTTAAAAAGGACAAAAGCATGAGAGGCATTACAGTTAGAGAAGCATATAATCGGGAGGATTATTATTATTCAGAACTAAGATTTTGGGTTGATAATCTCAAGCTCATATATATATACACACTGGGATTGAGGTCAGTAGCTACATCCTTATGTTATTTCCATTAAATTTCTATTTTTCCATTTACCTAGCTAGTTGTTGTTGTAAAAGATTATACATGCATATATAGCACATATGTGTGATGGTACAAGACTACAAGTTATACCATTAAGAGATTGAAATTGTACGCCACATATCGAGTGACGCTAGAGATAGTTAATTGAGAAAGTAAAAAATAAATTGAGTTGATCAAAAGTTTACGCTAAATTTTATAGTGATCTTTTAAATGTATATGACATTATTCATTATTCTATGGGAGTTTTATATTCATTACTGTCCGTCTCTCCCTATGATGCTTCATTATATTAAAATGGGTTAGCAATTTAGTTATTTTGAACAAGTGAATAGCTATAATTTAACAGTAGCTCGTCTCACCATCTATTAATTTATAATACTTTTTTTGACACCATCTCAATTCACTATTTTTTCCAGTATGTTACGTTATTAATTCATTACTTATTTTTTTTTTTGTAAAAAAAGTTTATTCTCGTTGAACGTATTTAGTATATATGTTATTATATCTGGATGAAAATGACTGATACACACTAACGTTACAATTAGCACAGATGGTGCTGCACGTTCTGTTTAGTGGACGTTTACGGGACGCCAATATAGATGCAATTAATCACGTAAGCCAAATTCTTTAGGAAACTCAAGCTAATAAAAATTTCTGTTTATTTGATTGACGCAAATTTTAAAATCTGTTTATTTTATTTAGTTACCTGATCGGATCTTCTGTGCTATAACTTAATTAAGTTTAGAGAAAAGCAGCAAATCTGGGTTCTAGTCAACGGTTGATCGCTGGATCTTAATTTTGGAATCATTGTAGTTTTGAATTATTGAAATACCATAAAATCAAGTTATCAACGAAGCTAAAGTGTTCTAATTTTTTTGGTCACATATCTCTAATTGTATGAGTTTTTTTTCCCTTGCCAAAAATACAAATTGATATACTCACCTTGGTGGTCACATCATGCACTGGCTCGTTGAACTTAAACTCCCGGGACGAGAACGCATGTTTTCTATTTCTATCTTTTCTAAATCGTAAATTAGATTGTCTACACTTAAGTGCATGTATGAGTAATCTTGTCCGTATCAACGATTATGTTTTTGCATTCATTAAAATGTTTAATTAGATCAGTCTTAGATTTGAATACTACATTGTAACTTATATATTTATTACATATATGTCAGATAGATAAAATCATCAGTCACACTCGTATGTAATAAAATATTTTTTCGGTGACAATTGAAGCAGCTTGCAAGCTCTATTTGTCTTTAACTTTAAGTGAAACATCATTTTCTGGGTCAGTTCATTGTAAAAATTCACTGACATTGTTATTCACTTGTTTCTTCCGAACCTTTATATACATTCACTGCTGCTAGGATCTAAAATGCAATGCGTTTGAGAGCATTTTGAAGGCAGGCAAAAACATTAATCCATCTTGAATTTTCCAAATATTCAGATTGCAAAAATGGCTGAAACAAGAAGAAGATCAAGGAAAGCCCTCAAGATATGCTGCGGAGTTTCGGCAATAGTAATAACTATCATCCTAGTTGTTTTTATTACATTGGCTTTCACCGTCTTCAAGCCTAAAAACCCCTTGATAATCCCTCAATCTGCTAGGCTACAAAACGTTCAGTTCCAAATGTTCCCATCTCTAACCCTAAATGCGACTCTAGGGCTAAACGTGACGGTTCAGAACAAGAACTACGGAGGATTCCAGTTTGATAACACGACGACGTATGTCGATTATCGAGGAATCGGAGTTGCGGAAGTTCCTTTGGAAAGAGGAAGTGTTCCTGCAAGAGGGGAGCTTGAGATTTACAGCGTTGCGAACATTTCAGCTGACAAATTGCTTTTGAGTCCTTATTTCTGGGATGATTTTGGCTCCGGAGGATTTAATTTTACGTCCACGACGAATTTCCAGGGCAAAGCTAATTTCCTCAAGGTGTTTAAGTTGAAGGCAAAGGTGTTTGCTACTTGTCACATCTCTGTTCAAATTTTGTCTCAACATATTCAGGTTAATTGTACTTCAAAGCTTAAGTTGTAATGATATCACCACAATGCGGGATTTAATTATTAGGTTACATTGTAAACGGTACGTTAGTCCTTTTTATGTTACAAGTGCACGCTTTACAAGCACAAAATTTGTTGTGATGATTCAATAGTACACTGTAGTTTTGGCTTCCGATCTTCAGTATCATTTTTCTTTCTTTCTTTTTTTTTTTTTTTGGTTCGACTTCCTTTTGTTTTTTTTTTTTCTTATTTGTTAAGTATTTGAACGTAACATTAAGCAAATGCAAAACTAATCTTAATCGGCAAGTGATTGGGCACAGTTATTTAAGGAGTGTTATAAAACTCTATCACTAAGGTGATCCAAAATATTTCTTATCATTTTTTCCTTCGTATCATATGTACATAATCAGTCGTGTAATGAAGAATTATATAACGTGACGAATAAACAGCCACAGGTTTGTAAATTTTGTGTATATAGGTTGGCTCGGATGCATTATTTATAGTACATAGATGTTTCCCATCCCACAATTGGTTGCGGCATAATTTTTCTTTTTTAATATACATTATGTAGTATATTTTTGAAATCATTATTGCGACTAGTCCGGCGTAAAATTAAGTAGGTCATGAAATGATTCATAATTCCCGATTTCAGTAGGCGAAATATACAAATCACGAAAGAAATAAGCAAAAGAACAAAATACAACACAAAACGTTTCTTAGAATTTGAGTGGGTAGAAAAACCTTTATTTACCGGTGTTGTGTTCGTAACATATATGAAAAAAAGTTGGCGTACGTTGTGGTTTATATTCTAACGGTACTACAAAATTCTCAGTAATTATGTTCTTGTCAAAAATGTTGAATACCACCCCAGCCCCGCCGAACAAACAAAAATCATCTTGTACTTTGTTTAATAATTCATTTAGTAGAGTAAAATAATGTAACCTAAGAAATTATATATTAATGAATGACAGAAAAAGTATATAATCAATGAAATACTATGATAGTAGCAGAATTTTCCTAAAAGTCAACCGACGGGATTGTTCTTGGACAGTTGTACATACACCTCACCTGCCGTGACGTTTTTAGCACATGGAGGGGTCTTAAATTATAGACTATATTATTGGTGATTTTCAATTTAATAGTCATTAATTAATTTCCAGATCTATTTGCACTTGAAGAAAAAATATATACATGATTAAATAGAGGAAAAAACTTCAATAAACTTTAATGGGCTTTTAGAACACCGAGTATAATGTTTAGGAGTTTCAATAAATCTGTAAGGTTTTAAATTGAATCAAAAACAAAAAATGAAAAAAATGGAGAAAACGGAATCACTTGTGCCATTTTACGGATGAACTTCTAACATATATGGAGAAAATAGAACAAATTAATCCAAAATGTTGTACTTCATAAGTCAATTATTTGCGAACAAACACTGAAAATTTACAGATATCATCGCCCCCCACCCACCCCGCCCAAAAAAATAAAAGATAAAAAGAAAAAAAACTATTTACAGAAAAGGAATACTTATCGTAGCTTTATTTTTTCGGGGTTATTTGCCAAACTGCCCCGAAATATTTAGCTGGTGACAGATGAGACTGGCTATAGAGCTTCACATCGGTCATCTCTTTCGCTATGCACTTAACTATCTTCCTGTTTAACACTCACAATATGGGGAAAATCAATCAATATTTACATATATACCAAAAACATGAAAACACTTGCTTGTAGAGAGTACTACCCATGAACAAGTTTAACACTAAAAATCCACTCCTCGAATCTTATTATCTCTCCGTCTCTTTTTAATAGTTAATTTTATTGAAATAAAATAACGCAACAAATCAGACTATTAAAATAGAACGGAGGGAGTATATTTCAACCGCACACTAGTCTTTCTTGAAAGTGTCCATCTCAGCTAGCTAGGCAAGGTAATTTGGAAACGTCGAAATGGGTACTGCGACTTGTGAGGCAAGTTCCACATTAATTATGCTGCCCTTTTCATTTGCTTGGAATTGAGGAGCATGGCCGGACTTCTTTCCCTTCAAAATTAATCAGCACAATATAAGAAAAGAATTTGTTGAAATGTATTTAATATTTCCTCCAAACTAAGACAACATGACCTTTTAGTGGGACGGAGAGAGTAGTAAGAATGGGGAGAGGGAAAAAGGGATGGAAAACAATCTTACCAGAAATATGCCATCATGCATTACTCCATCATCCACGTCATTAGTATGCTTCACACCGCTTACCTTGAATCAAAACCGAAGAAAATCCTATTAGATCATACATCTTCATGCATGATTTTTCAATAAAATATGTATATCTTGAAGAAAATGGGAAAAGAAAAAGAACTTAAGTGCCCAAAACCTCTCTCTAGCCATAAATATATATAAGTTGCTACAAGATGAATCAAAGAAGTACATATTCCTTCCATCTAACAACAAACAAACAAATAATTCAATGGAGTGAACTACTTTTATGGAAATAAAGAAGTAAAAGTATTTTGTCATCAATTTGATCAAACTTACCCTTGGGCTATTTACAGGTGAGGAAGCTGTATCTTCCAAATCATGATCAAGGAAATACTTCTTGTTTCTTGGTTGCTTGACATTCAATTTCTTGGGAAAGTGCTGGCCACTAACTGTCGAAAATGCAAGATTGACTTCTTCCTTGTTGAATGCCCAAATGTTCGATAGTGTTGCATGATGACGATAAGAAGGAGAGGCAGCATCAGAAACCATAGAAGGGCTTATACCATTTGAATATGAACTTTTCTCTCTTTGCTGATCATTATTATCTGATGATGAGAAGTCCTTCAAGTATTTGGTCCATCCGGATTCTTCTTCAGAACCCACAAATTTGTGGGAGGATGAACTACACATATACTCTCTTTGTCCTAATTCCATGATGCAATCTACAATAGAAGCTCGAGGAAAGTGATATGTGTGGCTAATATTGGTTTGGAAGCGGTTATGTTTGTGAAATGAAAGTTTAGAAGTGCGCCACAAGTTCAATTTTTGGCTTAATTTGGTACTTTGTGCTTCAGGACTTTATTTAATTCGTACTATCTTTATAATAAGAAGAATTTTGTTTGAAGTATTGTTTCAGTCACAATTCTTATTTCAGAACGAAAGTAAAATAAAATTATATCACTTTCATATATTATTTCTTTATCCTAACTATAATGGATCAAAACCGGTAAGAGTAGTAATCAGAAAATGACAAAAAGAAGGAAAAGGGAGGCCATTATGTGTGGAATCTTTTGGTTTGGAGGAGGATATATTAGTGTAGTTATTATTTAATTAAAATCAAACAATTGAACGGGAAATCTAAAGATAAAAGAGAGATAGAACGTGCAAAAAGGTAGAGAAGATTTAACACTATTTGATTTGAGGGGTTTGACCTTTGTAACATGGAAGTTTCAAGGATTGGAGAATCCAATTGTACGAATATTTTAATTATTTGAAGTTTCTTGGGATCTTTATTATTGATTTTTAAACTTCGGTTTTCTTCTTTAATGAAATATATATATATATATATATATATATATATATATATATATATGTGTGTGTGTGTGTGTGCGCGCGCAGAGTGTTGGGTGAGGTGGTGGGTATTAATAAGGTAAGAAATTATTATTACTACAAAATTGCACCAACTTTAACGATTCAATCAATTTTTGTTTAAATGATTAAAAAAAATAAATAAACATGCAACAGCCAACATACCATATGAGACTTCACTTTATATTTACATCAGGATTCCTTAATTTAGATGCTTGTAAGAATGTATTTCAAAAAAAACAAAAAAATGATTCCTTAAAAAAAATTATCAGTAAATTATTATTTTAGACTTCATATTTTGAATTGGTCTCTCTAAATTTTTATTGTTCACAGAGTCGTTAAATTTAAAAAATTTATTTATTGTAATGGTAAAGGTCATTGAAATAGTCTTCGAATTTTTTATTTGTTTGCTACTCTTAGTTTTAGAGGTCAAAAAACTTCATCCCACAAAGGGGGTATAGAGGGATTTTTTTTTTTTTTTCTTTTACACATTTATAGGTGGGGAATCGCATGGTGGATTTGTTTTATATTTTCTATAATATTCTTTAAAATCACTATATTCAATATCTTTAGTTGGTACAACTCGCAACAAAATTATACAACTAGAATCAAAGCTTCAACTTGGTATTCCATAAATCTATGAATTTTGGTAATCCACCTACTTATAGTTTTCAAAACTATACCCATGTTATATTTATTTGAGTTCAGATATGGTAGAAGCATTGTGCGTGAGGAGAGAACATTAAAGATCAAAACTAATATTGACTAATAATGTTAGTAATATTATTTGATGTCTTTTTGAGGCATAGAATCCTCTGTGACGCAATCTTGTGGCACTCACTGTGACACAATTAAATTACTTCTTATAAATTATATAATTTGTGTTTATATATATATATATCATTCACAATTCTTTTCAAATTTATATATTTATGACTAAGGGTTCACATTTTCGGGTTAGGACTTATTTATTTTAATTTTCAGAGTTAAAAATTTAATAAAAATGGTCATATTAATAAAAAATAAAACATTGATATAAAAAATAAAATAAGAATATAAAAATTATCTACATTGAAAATATGTGATTATGGTATATGTACTAACAAAAAATATATAATTTATAAGAAGCAATTGGATCGTGTAACGGTAAGTAGCACAAGAAAGTACCACAGATGATCATGTGCCTTTGGGTAGTTAGGTTTGGATGGCTTTGTGGTTCGAACCATCAATTAGGCCTTTTTTCATTTTTTTTTTGCAAATTTGAAACTTTTCTTTGCTGTGAAGGGTAAAATGGAAAAATGAGAAAATAAAGGATAAAAAATTTGGGAGAGAGTTAATTTATAAACCATTTGATCCAAAAAAAAAAAAAAACCTCAATGAACTTACTAATTTTCAACTTTGGTTCTTATATTCTACATGCAAGCATATACATATAAATACTACTTTACCATTCCAAAAGATTGTTTAAATTTAAAATCAAACTTATGAGGTTTATATTATCTAAAAATTATCATCAAATCAATAAATAGACATAGTGCTCAATATATGTTTATTTTTTATTTTGACATTTTAATTCATCTAATTTATAGATTTGAAATTAGACAATTTTTTTGAGACGAAGAGCCTGATATATTGGTTCTATTTGGAGATTGGTTTCTTATTTCTTAATGCTAAACGCTAAATCCAACTGTAGAACACGTTTTAACCTTTCAAATTCGGCAGTTAAAAAAATACCAATTAAATTATTAGATATTTAAAAACATAGATAGTCATCCCTAAACAATATATATTAATTGGAGATATATTTTTTGGTAGCTCAATTATCAGAGTGAAACATTTAATAAATTATAAATGCCTCTAGATTCTATTAGAAAATTTATTTAGTAAGGCAATGAATGCTGGATATTTGCTTCAATTAGATTGAGGTAATCATTGTTGTATAATGCTCTTACCTTATTATAAGATGATTTAGTTTTTTAACATATAAATTGTTGAACACAAATTTTTTAACTTTATCTACTGTTTTAACCAATATTAATAAATGTGACGAAACATGGATCTACACGGTGCTCAGAATGGGTAGCGACGATGATCTAGGTGGCGGCGGACGGCCTAAAACCTGCAAGACAGAGCCTCGGATGTCTTCCTGTGGTAGATTCTCCGATGCTTAAGTCAATAAGAGAATAGAGAGAACAAAGAGAGAGGGATGTGTATCGTGTGTAGAAGGTGTAGAAGATAGGTAGAAGATATAAATTATGGGAGGGCACCACCTCTTTATATAGAGGTGGTGTTACCTGTTTCCTGAAACCCTAGCAGAATAGGTTTAGGCAGTGGCTTAATCTCCAAGTAATCTAATCTTAGGCCCAATAGGTCTAGGGTTCAGTTTGGACTCGTCAAGTGCCCCTAACAAGCCATATTCTCGAGGTTCACCGATAAGGATATTGGTTTCTACGAGTGTTGATGTCTTCTCGAGTTTCATGGTGTTGCCCCAGTTCTCGAACTCTTTCGTTCTCGGTTGTCACCTATATAAGATAAAAAGAATAAAGTGCCTCGAGGAGGTCTTTGAATTAGTGGGTTCCTGATTAGGAGGGGGAAACCTGTGTATGCCGAATTAGGAGGATGGCACCTAGATGCCGACTTGGGAGGATGATGCCTGGATGCCGAATTGGGAGGATGGCGCCTCGATTTCCTTATTTGAAGGGAGGAACCCTATATGTTTGGATGTTCGAGATGCGATATATAATGTAATAATGTAAGGACAACTAATAACAAGATGATTATGAGGAATATCACTTCAAGCAGAGGATCTTAGGATGATCCCTCAAATTCCTTGCCCCAAGGTATGTCCCTGTTTGTGCCCCCGAGTACGTTTTCCTTGTTGAAGGGTGATAGGGTTTTACCGCGAGAGGGTTTGTAACTTGAAAAATTCCTTTGATCGTGCTCAAAAAGATATCTTGATATGATAGTAGTAATATGCTAATGATATCAGTAGTACATTGATTTAGATTTGAGAAATATATTAAAAAAGGTTTGATAAGTACCTCGATCTCAAGATAAATTAATTATTCGAGAAGGTGTTACCTCGATTCCGTGAAGGTAGTTGTTGAGTAGATAAAAGTCGAGATATATCTTCTCGAGCACTTCGAGTAGTAATATGGTGCTCGAGGGATTGTTACCCCTTCGAGGAGATGTATCTCTCGAAACTCCAATATTCGAGATTGTCCCTTGCTAATCTGTAAAATTTTAAAATTTTTAGGGACCAAATAATTAAAAATATATGAGATTAAGTGGCAATTCTCAAATTGAGGAATTGTTCTCGGCTGAATATTCTGCCCCTTTTGATGGATTTTGAACTCCGGGGACTGTTCTTCTCAATCACCTGCGGAGCAAGTGCGGCTCCTTGAATTATTTGTGCAATCGAAAGCTTCTTTGTGCCATTTGTCGGCTGACGTCTTCTTGGCCAAACAAAGACAATTTTTTACGCGATCTTCTATTTGCAAAATCGGAGCAACGAATTAGCACCATGGCTACCAAAGATACAAAAGATTCGGTGCTTCGCTAAGGAATTTATTTGGTTGTGAAGACCAAACAAATCGCTCCCACTGGGCGTGCCACTTGACGAAGCATGGATCTACACGATGCTCAGGACGGGCGGCGACGATGATCTAGGCTGCGGCGGACGGTCTAAAACCTGCAGCACAGAGCCTCGGGTGTCTCCCGACGGTAGACTCTCCGATGCTTAAGTCAATAAAAGAATAGAGAGAATAGAGAGAGAGAGGGATGTGTATCGTGTGTAGAAGGTATAGAAGATAGGTAGAATATATGAATTATGGGAGAGGCACCACCTCTTTATAAAGAGGTGGTGTTACCTGTTTCCTGAAACCCTAGCAGAATAGGTTTAGGCAATGGCTTAATCTCCAAGTAACCTAATCCTAGGCCTAATAGGTCTATGGTTCAGTTTGGACTTGTTGAATGAAAATTGTAAATAGTAATTATACCAGATGGGCGCATACTTAAGTATACACACACAGTTTCTTCCCGCACGATTCCACATCGGCCAGAAAATGGGGCCAAAAGGAAATAGTGATAACAATCACGAGATGATGGTAAACTGTAAAGATCTTACTGAAGGGTGGAATGGTATGTCACTGTACTATGCGGCGATGTCATTCTTGACATATGATTATAGATGTGTACCACACTCCTGTGGTTCCGAAAGGACTTTTAACCTTTATTTGTAAAATTTTATTCTATTTTCACTCACTTATTCTTTATGACATACATGCATGATTGAACGAAGAAGAATGCAGTACTTTCCAGGATGATTGAGTTTATGCTACGGGTCATCGGATGGTCAATCGGTAAGTACTGGTCAAACCCTATTGATGTGCTTACAGATTTAGAATGATAATAAAAATGAATGTACTTAAAGGGATTTAGTGTGGTTGGAAGTGTTGGTCCTAGGGTTTTAATTAATGTTTTACATATGAGTTCTAGACATGTCTAGGGATAGAAGGTCACTATTTTGATAAAATGCAGGGTTAGCTGGAAAACCAAAAGATAGATACCGAAAAATATTAGGGTTTGATCGGAGGTTGGTATGATAGAAATTGAAGTTAAAAGATGAGAGTAAGTTTAGAATTTGAAAATACTAGCTAGAAACTATGCCGAAGAATGTTAGAGATAATATGTTGCGGCCTCGATGCTCGACAACTCTTAATTTAGATTCATGAAAGTCTATATTTTCTCTTTCTTCTGCTTAGGTACAGTTGGTGCAATTTTAAATCATGCACTTGTCAGAATGTTAATCGAGGCAAAATTGTTCATATTAATTTCTTTTTTTTTTGGTAAATGGTAAACTTGTATTGATCAACTTAACAAAAACAAACTATACAAATCTTTAATTACAAGTAATACTGCCTATACCACCTAAGTCTAGTCCAATGCTTTTTAAGTACCTATACTCCACGTTCTTCATTTCTTGTTTTTCAAACAATACAAGATCCTCCAAGTGATTTCCTGTTTTAGTCTACACCAACACACTTCTGATGATGATAATCCATTCCTGAACCTCCTTCCGTTCCTCTCTAACCATAGATGATATATGGTAGGATTCAATACAACATACAAAATTCTCTTTTGCATCTCCTTGTGTCTCTATATTTTTAGAATTTCCTTCACATTGAGAAAGTCTATTGTAACATTCAAGTGCAGCCATTCCTTCACCTCCTTCAGCATAGACTGAGCAAACTCACACTTGAAAAACAAATGGTGGACTGTTTCTATCTCTTTTAAACATAAAATACACACCTGATCATCATGAATGACTTTGAACTGCTTTAATCTGTCTGAGGTGGCCAGTCTGTTCCTTCATGCTAACCAACAGATGAAACTGTGTATGGGAACTGAGTATACACTCCATACTATGCAGGCTGAATGATCTTTACTTCTTCCTCCTCTTACCCAACCATATCTACTTCTGGCAGTATACCTTTTCCGTCCATTTGCTTGCCATATACCACTGATGATTCCTGGTTTAAGCTCTTCTTTAACTTTGATTAGTTTCTTCCAATGCTAGCTACTATCATTTGGTGCCAAGCAGTCCCATATTTGTTTTCCTTTCCGGTAGTAAATATGCATTCATTTAACCCATAAACTTTCCTTCATATTACTCAGGTCCCAAAGCTGTTTCTCAATTAATACTTTACTACAAGCACATGGTTCCTTAATATTCAATCCACCTTCTGACTTCCTTCTACATAAATCCTGCCATGCCACCAATGATAATTTCTTTCCTGTTTCCTTGTTTTCTCACAGAAAATTCCTATATACTTTGGTAATGTCTTGGATCACATTCTGTGGTATTAAGAAAACTCTGGCCCGGTAGCCAGGAAAATTAATCGTGATTCCAGGAATTAACCCTTTTAGCCGGAAAAATTTTAATTATTTTATTGCATAGATACACTTTTAAAAATACTTACTGTTAATTGCGAGGTAAATAAGGATACAAAAATAATGCTTTGGGAACTTTTAATAGAGAAATAAGTAATTCCTAAATTGTAGTAGTGAAATATATTCCTTTTGACACTGATCTGAAATGTAAAATACCGATTTACTTAAAGAAAATTTTTAACGGAGCATTTATGCAATTTATAGTTTTATAATATCACACGAGTCCATTGCATACAACTAAGACAATTAAGTTTCCAAATTGAGGACCAAATTTGCTCAGAATAACACATTGTGAATTGCACTTTTTAATTTTTCCTTTAAAGTTCAGTCGTATTTTCCTAAAAACTTTTATAACTGTGTTCTAAATAAAAAATCCAAAATACATTATTCTTTCTTATTTTTGAAGAGGTGGAAAAAATTAAAATAAAAAGAAATGCAAAATAGAAGGTTGATATAGTATGTGAATTTACTTGATTGAGTCCAAACAATAATTTCATTTTCCCCGTATCAATTAGTCAAATGAACAAAAAAGAGATAACTCCCCTTTTGTGCCAATATCCTCTGAATATGTAGGTTTGTAGCAATTCCAGATCTTCTATTTAAGGCCATTGCACTGAGAATACTTCTCATAGCAGCTCATTCAATTCTTGCTTTGTTTCTCTCTATCAAATCCCTCTACTTTTCTCCTCAAGGTTCTCTTCCTTTGTTCTTCCATTTGCCTCCACTTGTTCATATAAATTCTTTTATCTTAATCTCTTTCCCTTTTCTTTGATTTGCTTTTGAGCCTTAACATTTTTCTTTTTAATTTTCAGTCTCAAGCAAGAACGGGATTTTTCTCCCTTTGCCACAAAGAACTTCACTAGAATTCTAGACTTTTAAAGACACCATTGTCCTAAATCTTTCCAAATTCATTGATAGATTTTATTTTGTTTTAATGAGAACCGAAAAGTTTTGATATAACCAAGAATACTCTATTTATGCCCTCATATACATTGAAATCCAAGTCTATAGTGCTTCTATATTTCTAAATCTACATTTACATAAAAACTTGTTGATGGTAACTTGCACCATTTTTTTTTTGTATTCCTCATGTTATAACTTAGAACACCACCCCCGCAAAAAAAAAAAAAAAGATTATGAGGGGAGTCAAATTTCTTCATTTTAACTGTTCAAAGTGGTTAACGAAAATCTTAAAATTTTCATTTTTAATTCCCTTTGTTTACTTTTCAGTAACAAATGATTTGCAAAAGTTTTTTTCAAAGGGAAAACCAAGAGTTGGCCTTCTTTTTCCCCTTTTGTTTCTTTAATAAAAGATAATGAAAATGAATGATTGAATCTGTTTTCCCCTTTATTTGCTAATGTATCTTATGTCACTGTTCATTTTCTTTGCAGAACTTTCTAAGATGAAAAAGGATTTAACGATCATGATTGGACAGGTGCCAGTAGCTATTGAGATAGAGCAGAATCAACAAGAAATTGCTTCCGAGGAATCGATTGGACAGGTCAACCTAAACTCCTTATAACTCCTCCAATTGATTTCATCATTGGCATGATTTAATTGTGAATGACAACATGTGAGGGCTTTGGCTCACTTTTGCCCCCTCTTTTGCTGTGATATCTGTGTATGTCTGCTTGACGTCAAAATTAGACACAAATATTAGACACTTGGTTATATTTAAGTCTTATATGTTTATAAAATTATTCAGTTAATAATTTAATTTACTGATCCAGTTTTAACGTAACAAATATTATTTTCTTGAAAGAATCTAAAGATCTATTTTGATGGAACCAAATAACTCATGTAGTTAGCCTCTATGTGATCTACATGGAGACAAATTAATATTTGTTTATTCCAAGAAAAGAAGTGGACAGTCAACTCCAAAGATTTCCTTTTGCTTTAAATGACTCGTAAAAGTCCTCGACAACATGTAATTTTAAAATTTTAGCTTTAATTTTTTGCCTTGGTAAATCAAAATTACTGTAATTAATTATTAGAAAAGGTACAAAAGCACGCCCACGCATTTTATACATAACTAATTATTCTATTTAGTATGCTTCTCTTAACATGTATTCTTTTAACAAAGATTTATTATAATTTACAAAAAGTTACAATTTGTAAAATACACGTGAGAGTATTTATTAATTTCCGGAAACAAATCACACGTGTAAGTAAGACCAGAAACTCATTCCACCTTTGCTCAAACAGTCAATGTTCCATATCCAAGCACACGATGGTCAGTTGACTTCTTTTGTTTCAATTATATTTATCAACTGTATTTCATTAATGAATGTATGCTATTAATGAAGCAAAGGTGAGAATCTTGTGTTGAGATTAATACTATCTACGACGTGACAATTGGTAGTAACAAAATCATTGTTACGCCACTATTTTCTAAGCATTTTTCTACAGAAAATTATCTGAATGTTTTATTTTGCCCATCTCTTCATTCACATATCTTTATCATTACTATTTTTCTAAATTTGTCAAATTACCTTTGCAATTCCAATGGAAACGTTACATGGCATTTCTTATTCCAAACATGAAATGTTGTATATTACTTCATCATGATGTGCGCAACCATTAAAAATTGGACTTCTTTTCGCAGGCAAGCAACTCCAATGAAGCTGAAACTGAGCACTCGAATACATCCAAAGCAGTTGAAACAGATGATGACATTGAACCGAAATCTAGTTCCAAGAAGCAAGGTAACGTGAACCGTGACATCGGAGAAACAAGCAAAGCCGGCGGCGGTAGGCGAAAGCGCAATCATCGCCACAGTGATCATCAAATTAGGGAATTGGAAGCGTAAGTTTGAATTCAATATAACGATGATTATGAATTATGGTGTTGATTTTTCAAATTGAATCACACATTCAATTAGGAAAAACATGTTTCTTAATTACAACATTTTTATTTTCTCTATTTTATGGTATGGTTTTTTATATATTCTTAGGTTTTTCAAAGAATGCCCTCACCCAGACGATAGGCAGCGTAAGGGGCTCAGCAACGCACTTGGATTGGAACCATTACAAGTCAAATTTTGGTTTCAGAACAAACGGACCCAACTCAAGGTGAGCAAATTAAATTATATATGATTCCTCCAAGTTGGCTAGTAAAAGAAATTTTCTTTATATCACTTGTTATAACATTGAATTTTTGTATATGTTTTATAGGCACAATCTGAGCGCATGTCAAATTTCCAACTGAAAGCTCGTAACGAGAGGCTTCGTGCCGAGAACATGAGTTTCCGGCATACCCTTGCTACCGGACGTTGCCCTATTTGTGGTGAACAACAGGTTGTGCCACATTCCCCTCTTGAAGCAAATAATCTAAGGCTCGAAAATGAAAGACTAAGAGCCGAGGTATCATGAAATTCTCTTTCCCTTTTTTTTTTTTTTTTTACCAATGTTATTGTTTTCATAAATATTTCACAACATATGGAAAAACAAAATTTAGAATAAAGTCAAAGTAACTTTTCATTTTATTATTTCCAAAACAAAATCCAAAATTCTTTTTATCTCTTTCTATTTTATTTTTTTATTGAACGTTTTAAATTATTTTTTAAGATTGCAAGGGCCTCGGCTTATCTAGCACAGTTTGGGGACAATGAATTTGCGAATCAGAACAACGTTTTTCCTAATCCTCCACCACCGGCCATTAATGTTGGTGGGGCTGCTGCCAGAGAAGATGTTAATTTCGGTGCATTTGGTGGATTAGGGCAACCAGAAGCGGAAGGAGTTCTTCTTTCCGAGCAACAACCTAGTCCTATGCTTTTTAGTGTACCTGCAGCAGTACCTCCTGCAAATGACAGGAGAAGGATCATTGAACTCGCGAGTTTCGGGTTGAGTGAACTAAACCAGATGTGGTTAGCTGAATATCCTTTGTGGGTTCGGAGCAATGAAAAAAGGCAACTTATGCTCAACGAAGAGATTTATTGCGAAATGTTCCAAAAAGTAGCATATGCGATGAGACCTCCTTCTTCTTTTAAGCTAGAAGGAACCAAACACACTGAGATTGTCATGATGGATTCTTTGCATCTCATCGACGTCTTGATGGACATGGTAAATTAATCCTTCCTCTTCTTGTTTGGTTTATCGACTTTCTTATTAATTCCTTGGGTATTTAAAATAGTATTGTGAATAGATGAAAGAGATATTAACGGAAGCAATGACCAGATGACTGATGTCGCTCATATGAAAAAAAATAAAATTATACAAATATGGCTGAATAAACTGAAACCCTTGGTCTTTGTTTTTCTGGATTACAGGAGAAGTTTTTGGCAATTTTTAGCAGCATTATTTCAAAGGTTGAAATCCTGGACATCATCACTGCTGGGCAATCAAGAAACTATGATCATTCCTTGCTTGTGGTAACTCTCAATTTCAGCCACTTGCCTTTGTTTTCTTTTAATTAGAATATCAACTTATAAATTGCTATATACTAATTCAGACAATTCGAAAGGTAAATAGTCAAAAATCCTGGAAAACATTTTCTCATGGAATCGAAACAAAATCTTTGTCCAACTCTTATATGCGACATATGATTATGATTTTCATCAAATAACAAGAAATCTCTTTTTCTATTATTTTTGTAGATGTCTGCCGAATATCATGTCCTGACCCCTCTTGTCCCGACAAGGAATACCATATTTGCGAGACATTGTAGAAAACTTGATGATATATGGGTTGTGGTAGATGTCTCTTTGGATAACAACTACGGCACAAGTTCATTAATCCCTAACTGCCATCGGATGCCATCAGGATGTATCATCCAAGCCATTCGGAGTGGTGGCTCCAGAGTACGTTTTCATACCTAAATATCGATCTCTCTTTTGCTATAATTTTAATCTCGAATCATCAATATCATTTGTATGAATTTAATTTCGGTATAACGTTTTGAAAAGGTAACATGGATAGAGCATGTGGAGGTGGAAGATGGAGGAGTTCATCCATTGGGGAAGCCTTTTGTTGATTCCCTTCTTGCTTTCGGGGCTGAGAGATGGGTTTCGGTTCTGGGTAGACAATGTGAACGGCTTGCCGCTGTGTCAGTTCTTAATTTTCCTCCTCATGATATCAACAATGTTTGTAAGCCTCCAAACTATTTTAGCCATGCTGCATTTTTTTTTTTTTTTAAAAATTTCTTTTTGATGAACTTCTTCACCTATCCTAAACGAAGTTATAATTAAGGGTCTTTTATTGGTTTCCTTTTCCTTTTTGTATTGGGTCAGTTGTATCTGATCCAAAGATTAGAAAAGATATATTGAAGCTGTCGGAAAGCATGGTGTTAAGTCTCTGTAAGGGACTAACATCCTCAACTCCATATTCATGGGTGAATCAATCAGCGGGAAATGGAAATGATGAAATCAGATTCACCGCAAAAACCACCCAGAACAGTGATCCAGGGAAGCCTTCTTCAACTATCTTAAGTGCCACAACCTTCTTCTGGCTTCCGCTCCACCATAAATTGGTGTTCGAGTTCCTCTCCGATCAAAATACTCGAAAACAGGTACCATTTATAGATCTTGATCCTAAATGCTATTTGATCTTTGCTCTTTATTCTAAAACCTTTCAAATGTATATACAGTGGGACGTCTTGGCAAGCACAGGAGAAATTCAGGAATTTGTTCACATTACTAGTGGCCATGAAGTTGGCAACTTTGTATCCATGTTTCGAATCCTTAATGTAAGTTACACTTACTGCATTATTAAATTTGAAACTTCATTTGGATCAATTGGTCCAAAGTATTTTGGTGCAAATGCACTTGAGTTACATTGAAGACCTCATTTTGACTTGGTGCATAAAATTTCGATGAGTTTTACAATGAATAAAATTTATTTTAAAATTCTCGCAGGGTGAAAACACTGGACCTGAAGTATTGGTTCTCCAAGAATGTAGCACGGATCCAACATCTTCTTGCATTTTTTATGCACCAATCGAATCTCAAGTTGCAAGAAAGTTATTGGTTGGCGAAATGGCGGAAAAAGTGGAACTCCTTCCTTCCGGATTCACAATTTATCCCAGTGAAAAGCCATCATCACTTGCAACAATAATGAACCCTCCAGGGAATAGCGCCAGAGCAGCCGGATCTTTAGTAACAATGGCATTCCAAGTTCTAGTCGATCCTTCAAATGAAACATCCTGGTTTACCATTAATGGACCTGTTGCCATTCTAACCGATCTCATTGAGTCAACCATGAAGAGGATCAAGACTGCTTTACTCCCCAATTTTCTCTAGTTCCCCATATCTACAAGATCTTTCCATTGACCTTTTCATCATTAAACTCGTTCGTAATTAGGTTGGTATGTTTTCCTTCCATGATAAGTATTTCATTGTGGTTTTTTCAATGTTCTGGACGTACACCATTTTCAGACTATCCATAACGATTAATTGTCATTTTTTTCCTAAACTATTCTTTTTATGGGAAATCTTACAGTACGTATTATGAAGAAGTAAGAAATAGATGGGTCATTGGTCTTTGACTGTCCTTTTCACTTGGCTAAAATGCTTCTCTACTAAGCAACCTTCGCTGCTGTTACCAGATTTCTTGTGCGTTACGCTCTGCACATTTGGATTTTTTCCAAAAGATCTTTTGATCCGGGTATGGGAAATGAAAGTGCAACATATTTACAAACTAATTTTGCGGTCAGTTATTTTATTTCTCACCCTGGTCAAGGTGGGTTAAGAGTATGTACAATATGTTAGTGCTAATTGCTAAATATTGAGCGTTGTCTTTTACTTAATTTCGATTAACTTCAGCAATGTATGAAGTACTAAATGTTTAAAAATCGATGTATTGTCCTCCTCCATCATTGCTCTATGTATTTCCGTTTATTCTTTTTTTGTTTTCAACAGGATTAATGTCCCTTTGTTGATGAATACATTATCTCGAACCATATTAATGTTCATTATTCTGGTACATTATTTATAAAATGGACAACACTTGCATTTTCAATTTCAGTTGCTGATTTTCAGCGAAGTTTACCATCAAAGAAGATTCAAACGATGCTACGAATCAAAGTAAACTAGATACGTATCCGGTCGTTGCTCGGTTCATTCACACACGATAATATAAAACTAAATATATAAATGATAAATTTTTTTTGGTAATTTAAAAAAATATAAAAATTACAAAAAAAAAAAATTGTTGGTTGTTTCTAAAAACAACATAAGAGAGGCGCATGGATGATATCTTTAATAATTTAGACTTTAAAGGATAATCATTGAAATATTTTGTTTGGTATTGAATGAATATGAAATCATTAAAATTAGTTATAATGGAAAATTTATATAATTTTTTTTAAAAAATATTGTGAAAACCATGATCTGGTGATATATATGCGCTTTTTTTTTATCCCCATTTAAATGATATATATAAATCGGGATCAATTAAAAAATTACAAATTTTTTAATTTTGTAAATAATATGAGAATCATTGATATCATTAATATCCTATACATTAATATTAATTGATTAGTAGTAATTAAAGATTGGAGAACTAAACATAATTAAAGATTAGAAAAAATAAATTTATTTTTTACAAAACTACATTGTTTTTTAAAATAGTCAAAAAAACTTTCTCTCTCTTCACATCTTGGTTCTCTTGGCGTACGATAACTATCATGCGCGTTGCCATGGCAAGAGATGCGCTGAAGATCCAGAAGAAGGTCATAGTGGCGGATGAAAGTAAGGAAGAAGCATCATGGGAAGCTGAGGACTCAATCGATGGTAGAAAACAACCGGAGATTGTTTCAGATTTGGGGGAAATTTAGTGCCACCAAAGCCCTAATTTGGAGATCGGATTTAGATCAAAGGAAATTAAAGCTGGGGAAGAACGAGTGGATGCAAATCGAAGGAAGTCATGGGCAGATGACGGGGATAAAGCTGATTCAATCAAGGATTGAGGCAAGTTTGACATTAAGAAATTGCAAAACGAGGGATCGAAACTTGAATTCGTGGCTCCTTAAGAGGTGAATGGTCAGAAAGTGGTTAAAATTCAAGCTAAGGATGTTGAAACTGAAGCAATCTACTGGGAATCATGGGTGCAAAACCTCTGTATGCTGTTATGAACAGACATTACAAACATCTTTGGGCGCATTTGGGCATTGATAAGGCAATCCTCCTTCCATCAGGATTATTTGTGATTAGGTTTACTATAATGCATGTTAGGGATGTGGTTCTGGGAACTAATGGTTATCATTCGGGAAGTAAACCTATAATTGTGAAACCCTGGTCTGTAGAGAAAGGGATTAATCACGGAGAAGTAGAGAAAGCCTCTGTATGGATTCAATAAAAAGGTTTGGAACTAAAGTACTGGAATAATACTTCATTGAGTAGTATTGCTAGTACTATTGGTGTGCCTATTAGAACCGATGAAGCCACTGCGAATAGGAAACGTGTGAATTTTGCTAGGATTCTTGTGGAAGTTGAAATACAGGAGAAGATGAAAGACAAAGTATATTTTGAGGATGAAAAAGGGTGCATTCATGAGCAGGATGTAGTTTACGAGTGGAAACTTGCCATCTGCCAATGCTGTAAGGGATATGGACATCTCAGAAAGCAGTGTTGGAAAGTTCCTACTGTGCAGAAATAGACTGCAGAGCAGAGAGGTGTGATTAGAAGAGAAGCAGTGAGGCGGAATAGACCTCTAACAGCAGTTTGGAAGGAAGTGAAGAAATAGACAATGGCTACTAAGCAATTGAATGTACCAGATCAAAGATTACTTACAGTGAATGGTAAGGTTGTGCAGGGTGGTTTGAATAATGAGATACTGCGTAAATAGGAAATGTGGTTTAATATGGTTAGCAGAGGAAGTAGCTCAAGCAGTGGCATACAGAGGGAGCAAAGTGAGGAAAACAGACCAAACAAGACACTTGACCCTGATCCAGGGATCAATGAGTAGTTTGTTAACATGGAACATAAGGGGCTTAAATGATCCCTTAAAGCAGAAGGAAGTGGCTAGGATACTGTCTGCTAATGAAATTGATCTAGCATGTATAGTAGAAGTAAAAATAAGCAAGGAAGTGGAGGAACAAATAATGAGGAAATGGTGGAGAAATAGAGAGTGTTATACGAGCTATGATGCAAAGGGCAAAGAAAGGGTTTTCTTACTTGGAATGATGCTCTCCACCTACAGGTGCTAAGAAGTAAGGAATAGTTAGTACACTGCAAAGTCTACTCTAAAAAATTGGATTTCGTATTTTACTATACTACTGTATATGCTTCCAATGATATCCAGATGAGAATGGAGCTGTGGGATGAGATCATAGGGCTCAACACTAGTATACAGGAACCTTGGATGCTGGTGGGAGATTTCAATCATGGGCTCAAGGCAGAAGAGAAACTGGGGGGGGGGGAGGGGTAGAGCAGTTCAGTTAAGCGAAGTGGAGCATTTTCAAATGTGTGTAGAGGTGTGTGATTTACAAGATATGAGGCAAGTGGGGTCAACCTTTACATGGTGCAATAAGCAGCTGGAACAAAATAGAATTTTGGCTAAGCTTGACCGGGTTATTATAAATGGAGAATGGGTCAGCAAGCAGACTGAATCAACAGCTTACGTCCTGAATAAAGGCATATCTAATCATAACCCGATAATGATCAAGATACAAGGGGAAACTATGAAAAAGCCAAGGCCATCAAATATTTTAACATGTGGAAGGTTGATCCAAATTTTATGACAGTGGTGGAGCAGAGCTAGAATAGTCCTATAGAAGGCACAAGGATGTTCCAATTAGCAAAGAAGTTGAAGCGGTTTAAAAATCCATTGAAGGAATTAAATAGAGGAAAGCTAGCTGATATACAGATAGCAACACAAAGCTTTTGAGGAATTACATAAGCTACATGAGGATTTAAGTGTCGACCCAAGTGATAGTGAAATACAGAAGCTGGAACGAGATGCATACAAGAACTGGATGGATTTGAGTAGGGCAAATGAGTTATTTTAGAGACAAAAAGCAAAGGAAGACTGGGTTAAAGAAGGGGATGCCAACACAACATTTTTCCATGCAAGAATTAAACAGAAGGCCATGGAAAATAGAATACGGGAGATTAGTGAAATGGCTTGATATAGAAGAGCATTTTGTGAAGTTCTTTATGCAGCAACTAGGGCAAGCTTCTAGTAGAACAGTTAGCGACAACAGAGTCTTTAACCAGGGAGACAAGTTGAGTATGGAGGAGCAATTGAACTTAATTCGACCAGTCACAAAGGATGAAATGATTAGAGTGATGAGTGCATTTCGTACTATACTTTTAGGCATACAATTTACCTCTTTATGCTTTAATTATAGGTCAATTACGTTAGGTTTATATATTTATAGGCTAATTTGGGAATTGTGGTTGTCTAAGGACTGAAATGCAATACGGGCAGAAAATGGGCACAATGTGGCAAATTTGTGAAGTTTCAGGCCAAATCGGAAATTGTTGCAAGGACTGATCGTGCAAGGGCTGAGAAGAGGAATAATCCGGCGGGAAGAAGGCCAAATTGGAGCAATCCTTCGAAGCTAAAGAAGAGGAGCCGTTGGTGAAGTGATGCTACTGACATTGGGAGAAGATTGATGTACCTAAAAGCTGAATTCATCATCTAAATCTCTCCCAATTATGATTAGAGGTAAGGGGGAAGTTGGGAGAAGTATGGGTCTCCTCTCTTTTGCATAAAACAGATCGGGTAAAGAGGAGACAAACATGGCTAAGAAAGATCTCTCCCCCAACATCTATAAAAGGCAGTAGCAGCATGAAGATGAAGGCATCGAAGTCCAGAATACAACTTAGAAGTAGATTGTTGTGTAGTTAGTTCGGTAGGAAGAATAAGAGTATAACTCTGGGAGGTAAAGTCAGAGTTGTCACTTGGGGAAGTGAAAAGCTGACTCTGCAAAGTCAGCTGCACTTAACCGCACTCCCTGACTTTACTCTTCACTTGTTTTCTCTCCTTTCTGTTGTAATTAGGATGAAGTCTCAACATCTAAACTTGGTGGTGTTTGAGCTGCACTCCATGAGTAGCTAAACTCATTGCTAGGGTCTAATTGATATGCTTATATTTTACTTAATTATTATATCCCTAATTTGTGATTTTTACAATATATTTTGAGTACAAATATGCTAATTATGTGATTTTATCTTTAATTGTAGGAATTGTACTCAAATGGAAGAACTGTTGAATTTTTGGGCTAAAATAAAGATAAAAGCAACTCAAAGGGAGAATTGAAGATCTAATAAATTGACAAGGAAGAAATTGAAGCACT